TTGGCAGTGTAAAAGTGTGATCTAGTTTCCAGTTTATAACTACTTAACTCTACTGAATCCTTTAATTTCCAGCAGAGATATGCTGACAGAAGTTTTTTTTTTCTTTCTTTTTCTTAGTTAGCATGCTTTTACACATATTTTAGTACCATTTAAAGTAGCTTAGAAGATTTTATATTTCTGTCAATCTGTCTTTTTTTTTTTTTTTTTCCCCTGAGGTTCCTATTTAGTTCCTGTGGAAGAAAGCTAAAGGGAAAGCAAAGGAAGATTAAATATGGGTTTGGAGTTATATTTAATATGAAATGCTCTAGAATAAATGTTCTTTCTTATCCATACCACTACAAATATGGAAAGCTCATTGAGTGAATGGATGTACTTCAGTCACACCACAGTAATGAAGACCAGAATTTGGCTCTACAATTTTAAATATTGCAAATTACAAGTTATTTCAGGTCTTGAGATGTTACACCACTAATTTTTTTTTTTTTTTTTTTTTTGTGCTTTACCTTCTTTATGTTTGAAAAATAAAAACTTATGTTGGAGCTAATTGATTGACAGTTTGGTGTCTTGAAAGATACTAGGGCACTCAGGTTCCCATCTCACACAATTCTGTGTTCTAAAAAGGGATTTTTTAAGAATTCTTCTTGCCATTCCAGAAATCCCAGCACTTCTTGTCTGGCTACTACTGTGTAGTCTGTTAGTGGCAGTGAAAGTTGCACATGTCTCTCTGAACTTTTTTGAATCAAGGACATATGCTGTTGAACTTTGCACTATAATATTTAGTGAGAAGAATGATCTCTTGCAGTTTGTTCTTCATCAGTGGAAAAGTAGCACAGTGGAAACTTGCTTTTTGATTGCAGTCTGAAACTCAGGAGAGCTTAATCTGAAAAATGCAGGCTTGCCCTGATGAACACAGGCTTCTTTTCAAAGGGTTATCTTGTGGCTTTGTCTGGCTTGCCTGCAGGAGGTGGCCTTCAAGCAGCAGTGCAGTGTGGCCATAAACACCTGCACGAAAGGACCCACTTTTAGGGTCTGGTTCTTGTATTTTGTCAAATTTGCCATGGCAAACAGAGTTGAGTTTTCAAAGCTGATGTCAAGGTTTCATAAGGAGCACTAACTGCACCCTAAGAACTGCTGAACGGAGCTGTTTGCATGACACTTATTTGTTGGTTATTTCCTTGCCATCTTAAATCTTAGCACCAAATTGGAAGGATGCAAAAGCGTTACATCATATATCATTAATTTGCAGTTTTCTTTACTTCTCTTATGAGAAAGCTATCCAAGAAAATTAGACTAGAAGGTAAAATCATTTAGGCAAGCTGCTTTATGCACTCTAAGGAAATTCTTGTGAGAGAGCCTAGATCTGCCAATATATGGGTTACATTAATGTTGCTCTATATAAATACAAGTTGTAATCTTAATTTGTGGACCATGGAAACAGGCAAACTGCATGGCCTTAGCAGCGGTGCTGTTTCTGGCTATTTCTTAACCATTCCCAGAAATTGTGTGGGAGCAGAATGCTAGAGAAGAGGCAGTTTTCAGGAAGAGCTGAAGCTCCCAGGATACAGTGACACTGAGCACTGCAGAACCTACAGAATCTGGCAGAGAGAAGCCACAGTTTCAGCTGATAGCTTCCTGACTGTGCTCTTCCCTGACTCTGTGAGTTGTCTTCCTACCTCTCCACCCCAGTCTTCTAAGCAGGGCAGTGTTGACTGTGCAAGGACTTCTCATCGTCTTTTATACTTCAAACAGGACAGCTCTAAACTCTGCTGGTTTACACTGCTGTTTTTCAAGAGCTGTTTATTTTTGAGTGGATTCCTACGTGTGTGTGCTTTGTGGCATATTGAGAGCAACTGTGCCTAGTGCTTTCTGTAGAGGCATTGAGCAGATCATCTGAACAGGCACAGTGAACTCGTCAAGAATTTTGAGACTAATGTCATGGCAGCCTGGTCAGGGCTACTGAACACTTGCTCCAGCTAGGTTGCCATAGTTCCAGAAAATGTAAATAAAAATCCTGGAATTCACTGAGACAAAATTTCCACTAGCAAAAAGAGGGTGTTCCTGCAGAAACCCCAATATGTGGTAGCCCTATGCATGACACAGGAGGAGTGTAGAGGAGAAGTGCTTTACACAGTAAGCCCTGTTTGCAGCTGGGAGGTGGCAATAACAGCTGTGAGGAGACTTCCAGGCCTGCTACCTCCCAGCTGAAATATAGGATTGGTTGCATCCTAATCTGGGCATTTGGTAAGAGTCAAGCCTGGGTTAAATAATGACACACACAAGAATGTTGCAAAAACATTTATGAGGAAGAGGCACAAACTCAGTCTGTTTATTTCATAGACTGAATGATATGTAGGTTTCTATCAAAAGCAAATTTTTGTGAAGAAGCGTATTAAACCTTATACATTCCTGCCTGGTTTATCTAAAGACTTCTAAAGAACTTCTTTACTTTTTAACCATTGGTCGGAGTGGCTATCTGAAATCTTTTATATAAATTAGGGGAGCAGTGTCTGCTACTTGTGATCTGTAAATATTTAGTAAGTCAGCCATATTATATCTGGAGATAGACTAATTGCCTCTTTTGCGTAAGTTACTTCATATAACTTGTGATTTCTATGACAAGTTACATTTCTAGAAATCCTTGTAAACTGACTAATGTTTTTGCTATTTACATTTTGTGAATCACAGTTTGCAGAAATAAATGTCATCTATGGACTATTAACAAAATGTTTGTTCTTATTATTTGGAGTTTGTGGTTTGCAGATTGTTCTCTTCTATTATTATTCTGTTTCTTGTCTGGAAGCTTTTTAGCAGCAGAGCTAGCAGGGAGTAATGAATAATCTTGTTTATGGGTGAATACTCTCCCAATCAGCCAGGCAAAGAACAGCCATTATTCAAAAAAATAATGAAGAATCTGGTATAAATTATAGAATAGAGCAAAGGAAAAAGGAATGTAGCAGTGGTTGACTTATACAGCGACTTGGAATTTTTACTAATATTTCCAGTGACTGGTTCTACATTACTTTACTGGTTCAAATTATTAGAGGTACTGCAAAAATAGCCATCCATTACCAAAAAAAAAGTGTGGCAGTTCCTTCACTATGGTAGTAATTTTAGAATTGTTTTGAATACCTATAGAGAATACATTATATCCATTAAAATCATTTAGTCAGTAGTTAACAGAGAGGTAAGACTGTTTCAGAATTTGCATGCTCTTGAAACTTTTCTTTTTAGAATGTTTAAACATAATTTCTTGAATCTGCAGGGTATGTAGATTTTACGTAAATTCAGGTGTATACTGTAGCATTCATTCAAAATGTATTAGCTTGCAACAAACATTAGCTGTTGAGTTTATATTTGATAACATGATCTGATGGAAAAAGGAAATGAGAAGTTGTGTGATGTGAAAAATAATTAAAGAAGCTCACAAGCATTTTCTTCTGAATATATTTTAAGACAAGTTATGTGCATTCTAGGCTGAGAAAACCTCAGATTTTGTTTTTAAAGAATATACTTTTCATGTTATTCAAAGATAGGTTTAACCACAAAGTTGAGTTCTTCGTATTTGGCAATGCCAAGAGATGAATAGGATGAGCTGGTTAAACTTAACTTTGTTCACATCTGTTATTGATAGTGAATATACTAATGTGACTTATGAGATACTACAGTGACAAAAAAAATAGTATCACTGCCTAGGACTGTACAAATAGTAAGAAAAAGGTAGATGTGTTTCTATCAGTGAGTGTAATCAGAATATCACTTTGCCTATGTTTTTACACTCTTTCACTTGTTGTTTGCAAATAGTTGTTCAAACAGTTGAATATTTGCACACAGTGAATTTTGGGCCTTAAGTTGATATTTGTTGACACATAAGAAAATAAATTAGCTATAGTTAATGCCACAGTGCCGTTCAAAAACATGAAGAAGGGTCAGATTTACCAAACACATTTCTCAGCTTTAACACTGAAAGTCATGTAAAACTTTGTCTTTCTAGGTAAAGTGGTTATGAGTTTGCCAACATAAAAAATGCAGAATAGTCCAAGTGAAAAAATGGTCTGTTGAAATTCTGTTTCCACTCAAAAAAAAAAGTTACTGAAGCCATGATCTGTAGGGAGTATGAGAATGAACACCTTATTTTTTTCTAAGAGAAAAGATATACAGTAGGCAAACTGTGTTCTCTCACTGCCTCTGTTGAAGTGCTTGTCCATTCAGTACTTGGCCCTTTTGCTGTGGTGAACTTTTATAGATTGAAGCTTTGTTGTAGGCTTTTTTATTTATATATTATCTATAAAAAAAAAATTGTATGAATATCAGTGCAATAGCAGCTCTGGATTTCAACTTTAAATTGTTAGACTCTGAGCATAAATGCAACCTGATTGTACTTGGGCTCTAAAGTACAAATCAAGTCCATTTGAATTTTAACTTGGAAATAATGAAAGATTGTGATTCAGTCCATTGACTCCTTGCAGGCAAAGCAGGTACATTTTTCTTTCTCTAACTCAATGAGAAACAAGATTAGCTTCTTCCTTATAACTTTTTGTCTGAGAAAGCAATCATATGTAATCAGAATATATTTTAATGTGAGCAACAGACGAGTTTCTGATAGTAGATTATTTGTAGCTGAATACTTCTGATACTTTTGTGCACTATTAAAATCAGTTCTGCTTCTTAGAAATCACGCATTAAAAGAATGTGTTGTAAGTTTCAATCACCAAGTTTCTCTGCATTTGGGAACCGGTGATTTTCAGTCTAGTCAAGTAGTTTGAAAATTTGAGCATAACAATTACATTGGATGTGATGAACTCATATATTTAAAAATGAATAATCCTCGTAAAATAAAATTCTAGTGTAGGAGTAATCTGCAATAAATCAAAATAGGATGCAGCTACTGCTATGATTACACATATACTTTTGCAATGAAATTAATACCCTTTTTAGAGGCTGCATACTGTAGAGATGCAGGATGAGTAATTCTTTTTGTTGGGTTTTTTTTCCTTTGCCAGCTGAACCCATTGATGTGCTAAAAGCATTAGAATTTCACAATTCACCGGAAGGAGTATCAAGAACAGCAGGATTTTGCACAAACAGGAGGGATTCAAAAGGATCGGATGTTGCCTACAGAGTTTCAAAAACTGCACAGCTGAGTGCCCCAACAAAGCAGCTGTACCCAGGTAAGATTGTCAGAAAGCTATTACTTTGGTAGATTATTTTACTGCCTATGTTTTTATGGTATCTAAAGCACAGCATGCAGTCCATCATCAATACCACAAAACAATTCTGTTATCCCTAGAGCTGGGCCTGCATACGGATGACAGAACATGCTCTTTATCCACTGAATGAATCAGTTTTTATTGGCTTCAGTTAAAAAGCTCTTCATCAAATTCTGTGTCACTGGCAGAATTGGTCTGTAAGCCATATTACCTGTTCTTTCACGATGCTGTCTGATGGAAAGCTTATTTGGTGGCTTTGGCAAGTTTCCTCCAGTTTCAGTCCATTTAAAAGCAGTACTTCCTGGAGTAATGGTGCAGTGGTAGAAATGGGTTGTGGTTAGCCATTGCAAAAATCATTCCCAGAAGTACCATCTGTTAAGAATTAACTAAGAGTATCTGGGTATTTGGGGGACTAAACAAACAAGGCTAGTTGTGGATGGCAGGTAATGTGATTTTATCTTCTCTCAAATTTCTCTAGAATGAAATAATCACAATTTGGAAAAGATTCTTCAGATGTTGAGGAGAGACTTTTTTTCCATTATTTTGCTGTCACTTGTCACTTGACCCAAACTGTTGAGGAAAATGATCATAAGAATATTAAAAATGCAAATTGAGGAACATTTAATTTTTCTGCTTTGATACATCATGCAGAGTTTGAAAAAGTCTCTCTATAAACATACAGATTAGATGTTGGGAGAGAAAAATACTTCCTTTTTTGTCTTTCAAAGTAGCAATCATGTAGATACCATCCAAGATCTATAAGAGTGTGGAACATTATTTTGTAATAATAGTGCGTTCCCAGAGCAACATGGGAAACGGCTATACACAGTTCAAGCATAACTTACATGTCCACTTAACTCATCAGTCTACTTTTTTGTTCATGGAAGAAGATCAAAGCAAAATTCACTACAGATATAATATCTATATTATTTTTTAACACAGTTCTTCAGTTTTTAATATATCCTCTCAACTAAGATGCATATAGTTAACAGAGCTATCCAGCTGAAAATATCATTCACTGAATGGCACATTACAGTCTACAATATTTCGCTGATATTAGTGTGACTATGTGTATAATTAATTACTACTTCACCTAAGTAAGGTTAGCAGAATATGGGCTGCTCTTTCTTTAAAAAATACAAAAATGATTCATTGTATTGAAAAACTGCACAAGTTGCACAGTGTAGTAAGTTGGCACATTTATATTCTGAGTTTTACAATGTGTGTCACTAAAGCCACATGGTACAACAAAAAACTTTAAATAAGCATTGAAATACAACTGGACAGAAGATTAAATTGACTTGGAATCACTGGTATTTTTGAAACTTTAGAACAGTACAAGCACCTTCTGCTAAATCAAAGCCTGAGAGTCTAGAGCTGGAAGTCTGAGAGCTTGGGTTGTCTTGCACTTATTCATGAATCAAATCGTAGCATAAAGAGATTTGGCAGCTGCAGTAATAACTGTTCATATGATTCTTGAATGCCAGAACAAATAAGTAACTGAGGTTGTTGGCTGACATCTAAATTTCTATAGCCTTTGACTGCCTTAATTTAGGTGCTCTTCTTATTAATGCTTTCAGTTTCTGCTTTACAACTGGAATGAGTTTGCTTGATTTTACCAATCTGTTGTAACACTTCTGTGTGCAGGAGACAAATAAAGAAGCATTACTCACTCACACTCTATAGTAGTGGAAAGACTACAGAAGATATCCCAGATAAGACCAAATTGTGAGACATCATTTTAGCTAAACAATACAAGTTCTAATGCATCCTATGCTTGCCTTCATCTAACTCCTGTACTCATCAGGAAGTATACGTATCTTTTAGCTACTGTAGCTCAAAGGGATCTCTGAATGGCAAAAGCTGGGAGCGTCAATATATCCATCTTTTAAAAATGGATCTGATAATATTTTCCAACTTTCCAGAATATAAGAAGCATTGATTTCACTGACTGGAAGGCATTATGTAATTGTAAAGATACCTGCTTGGATTTTTGTTGTATTGTTTGTTTATATACTCTTAGTTATCTTTTACAAAAGCATATAGGGATGACAGGAGTGGCAACCCAGATATATACAAAGATTTTTCTAGCAATTTTCCCTCCAATTATTGTTGTTATTTTTGATTACAGTTCAAATAGAACCATACCAGTAAACAAGAAATTTAAAAGTAGTTGAGAAGACTTCAATAACTATTCCAGACATGTGTCAAAGAACTATATATACATAGCAATACATAAAGTTTTACATGTTAGAATGTCATTCATTTTTTTACTTTTTCAATCAAAACTGTGTTTGGAGGAAATTTACTTACAGTTACATGATGTAGGTGCAAGATAAAACATTTGGGAATATTATGTCATAGCAATAATAACAGAAACTACTGAATTGAGGCACATGACTCATTTTCAGCTACCTTTCTTAGAAAGCTTCCAGGTTTTTTTTTCATAGGATGCTATCTGTTTGAAGAGCACATGCCCAGACTGGTTGAATTAGTGTCACCTGCCATAAGCATTTTCAACATATCTTTCAGATTAACAGTGCAGACAGGGCAAGTGTTTAGTGCTTTTCAAATAATTTCTTTGGCCTTTGTTGACAATCAACTTTTCTCTTTCTTTTCCTTTTTTTACATCTCTTTACTCTGATGTTAAAAGGTATAATGTACAGTTTAATGTGTAAACTAGCAGCTTTACTTTGTCATTAAAAAACTTGACCAAAGGCTCACCAGAGTAAATGAAATGCTTCCTATTTATTGAGCTTTGATCCCTTCAAAATAAGATGTTAAAACAAGCCCTAAAGTGGTCTATATTACTACAGTGTTTCAACAACCTTCTATGAAAAAAAGTTAAAAAGATGGTAGAAAGCACATAAAACAACATTGCAGCAGACAATATAATAAGTGTAAGACTAGGGATTTTGTGGTTTAGAAGAGTAGTATGTCATTTAAAAAGCAATGAAGATTTTATGCATTTTGTAACTAAAGAGTTAATGCCATCAATACCTTGTCCTCACGGAAGGCTCCGTAGAATCACGAAAGAGTTTTCCCACAAGACTCGTCTTGGAAACAGTCTTATATTTTCTCCATTGGAAGAAGCAATTCCTAAATCGGCTTTTGATGTTGAAGTCTTACATACATTTATTCATTACAAAAATGTAACATATTATTTTATTAAAACTTACTGTATTATATTCTTAAAATGTTTAAGAACATTTTACCCACTCTCACACATGCAAAGTTACAGTTACATTCATTGCCAACATTATGATTAGATTCTAATCTGTGTATTTCTTGCATGTCAAATTGCAGCTGAATCCACACAGATCCAGTGTTTATTCTGAATTTTAGAATCTCAGTCTTACACTTCATTTGTTATTAAGCCTAACAGACTTTCACATCAAGTGAAATGCAGATTTACCACTAGATTCAACAGGAGCAGTACTGAGTACAAACCTCAGTCCGTCCTTTATAAACAAGCTATACCCACTTTTAATTTTGTTTATTTCTAGTTGTAAAGGATGAAACAATGATTGATATATCATCTCTACTTCAAAGAGAAAGCATCAGGGAATAAATGAAAATTAAGTGTTCTTTGATATTGCCTAAAGCTCCTATTCAATAAAACCAGTTATGTAATTTTTTCAATGTTATGCACAATATTATTCTAGAAGGACTTAAATATATATTGTGAGAGAGAAATTAAAACGAATGTTATCAAGGGAGATGAAGTGCCTGGGAACATATTTGCTATAATATAGATACTTATTGAGTGAAATTGTAGTGCAGGCTTTTAAATTAGAAGATTGCTAAAAAGAAGATGAATAGAAGAAATAATGAATGTGAAACCATCATAGTTCTTGCATATATTGTATTATTACATAAATTCACAGTAGGTTTACAAGTCATGTTTTTAAGAACCATTAAGGTAAATCTTTCAGGAATTAAAGCAAGACCAGAAAGAAAAAAAAGAGAGAAAAAGTTTTCCTGGTGTGATTCTTTATGTATTCATTTAGGAGAATTAGAAAACCCCAACAGTTTGTATGTGGGATCCTCTGTGATGATAGAAAAATGTAAACCTTTAAAGAATGGTTTCATCTTTTCTGAATTTGTAACTGTATATATCACTTTGTTTACAGGTGGAGATTTTCCAGAAGATTTTTCAATATTAATGACAGTAAAGCCTAAAAAGGGTATCCAGTCCTTCCTTCTGTCTATCTACAATGAGCAAGGAATTCAGCAAGTAGGTGTTGAAGTTGGTAGATCCCCTGTCTTCCTGTTTGAAGACCAAAATGGAAAACCTGCCCCAGAAGACTATCCTCTTTTCAGAACAGTCAACATTGCTGATGGCAAGTAAGTATAAAATTTTAAGACAAAAAATAATAGCACAGACCACTGTATAGGTGATTATGGTCTTTACGAACAATTATCTTAAATATTTAAATAAATGAGTAACACAATTTCCAGCTAATTGGGCTGCTGTGGTACAAAATCAGAGAACCTTTGCAACAGAATACAGTTCCAGCTTCAGATGGTGTATACAGCTACAAATAAAGCCAAACCACCTTTCTTATTTGCCATTTCTATAAATCAAGAGTGAAGAAATAGTCATAGAAGTTAAACCCACCAAAGCTAAACCTATAAAGATTCTTCCTGTGCAATATAGAAAGAAACACTGTTTTCAGAAAGACTCAAGGAATATTCTCACTAGAAGGGCTGTCTTGTCCATTTGAAGGTGATAGGCAGAGTGAAGTTGACAAAATAGCATAGAATTTGTCCTGTCCTGAACCAAAACAAATAAGATGGTTTGAGATGTCTATATATAATGAAATCAGGGAAGAATAGGCTGGACAATTAATCTGAAGTGCTGCAAAGACTTATACTGCACAGTCAGTAAAGGCAATTAATCTCAAACACCTATTGCATTATTAATGCAGTTGTTAATTATTTGTACCTAACTTCCCTTTGTAGACAAGCAGTTGTTCTCTGGGAATGTCATTCTAGTGCTTGTAAATGGACATTCATTCTTTTAAAGGCCTTTTTTTAATTGTGCTGCAGTCCAGGAAGAGCAGCCACAGTCTTCAGAGATACACAGGATGAGATTTTATTAAAGCAAAAGAAAACAAATCAGTAGAGAAGGAAGGGCAAAAATTCAACTATAATGAAATATGTTTATAAAGCAATAAAGGATAAAAAAGGAAAAAAGTAATAGTCTTCTAGCCCTTGTATTACCAGAGAATGGAATTATACCATGAAACCTAAACTCGATGCATTTCCCTAGCAGAAGGAGTGATAAAACAAAGCAGCAAACTTTTTTTTTCATTTACTTCCTCTAAATAACAAAGCTTTGACATGGGTTTCAGAATTTCACCCAAAATATTGAGAAACTTATAAAAATGAAGACATCAAAATGAACTTGGTTTGGTACAATTTCCTGCAGTGAGACTATACAACTTCTAAATCAACTAGAGTCAGTCCTATCCACAGTGAGTTGTTTCATGCTTTCAGCTTTTACATGCTTTCAAAAGATAGACCAACAATTTTCTTCTGACTCAGCTATTTTATGAAGGATCTAGGACAACAATCTTCATCTCAAAATGAGATATATTTAAAAAGTGTAACCAGTGTAATGTGCCTGAGGATGCATGGACAGTTTGCTTTTATAATGATAATGTTTAACCGTGTTCCAGAGAAAACATGGAATTAGAGTTCTGGCTCAGTGATACTGTTTAGCAGTCAGATTCCATTAGCTTTGAGGTGTTCCTTTTGATATACAGAAGCTCTTTGTAACAGTGATCTAATCTGTCTCTCTGATTTAGACAACCTTAGTGCTACAAATGCCAACTAAAATAATTTGATTCCAGCCTTCCTCTTACCAGTCACTAATATGACATACTTTGACACTTTTTGCCCTGGTCTCTCAAAGATTCTTTGATGTTTTTCTCCATATTAGATTACAGAGTGGCCTGGTCTTGCTCTTAGATATTTAAGTTGTCATAGCAGAGAGGCTCACTAAATTAATGTGGTCTGTCATGATAATGAAGTGTCATAAAGAGCATAGTATAGTTGAGCAAATTGTACAAAACTTTATTCTCAAGTGTCTTTAAAATAAAATCATTTGTCAGTATTCTGAATCAATTCATTCACTTTTTGGTGAATATTTATGTAGGCAAAGCTATTGTTGCAGGAATATTGGCAAGCATTTGTAAGTATATGTATCTGGAAAAGCATCTGTTGGAACTGTGGTACATCTTTGAAAAATCTCTGTAGCTGTGGGATACATTCAAATAAGCAAAAGAACATGGTAAAATTTTGGTGATTGATCACAGGGAACAAATAGTAAAATGTAAATAACAACGGATAAGCTGCTGGATTAAATATATTTGCACAATTAATTCCTTAAGTAATTTGAAAAATCAAACACATTCATAAAAATAAAATCTTCTATCAGATCGTTCAATCTAATAAAATGTAAACAGTGCACTCGCTTTTAACTTGAGTTTACTAATGTTCTCTGGGTAAAGCTTCAGAGGTCAGCTTGAACTTCATCTTATATAGGATATTCACAATAAGCTATGGATAAGATTCTTTTGTACTAAGGGACAGAAGTTATACAGTGAATAGACAAAACATCGTGTACATTTGTGCACATATGAAAGAAGGAAATAAATGGAGACATTTAAAATTTTATCTGTGACTTGATTGGTGCACAATCTGCAATAAACTTCATAAAAACACAATGACTTAGTTTTAAAAACATAAATTACAGTAGAATTATGGTTTGTTTTTTTAATTAGGTGGCATCGAGTAGCTATTAGTGTGGAGAAAAAAAGTGTTACAATGATTGTTGACTGTAACAAAAAAACTACAAAACCACTTGAAAGAAGTGACAAAACAGTTGTGGACACCAATGGCATCACTGTCTTTGGAACCAGGATTCTGGATGAAGAAGTTTTTGAGGTAAAAATCAATACTGAACAAATGGAACTGAGTGATTTTCTGTTGACTGAAGTGCTTAATGAAAATCAGAATAATTTTTTTAGGGCAAAAGCTGTTATAATGTAGAAACTTTGATTTATAGTATCCTGTTAGGATAGGCTGAAATAGAAGTAAAACAAGGAAAGGTCCCTATTGTTGGAAGATATGATGCATTTTTCTGTCCTTTAGATTATGTTGTATCTGGAGGGGCTTGCTTTTTTTGTCTTTCTGCCTAATATTGACATACCTGAGATATTTAAGAGAATTAATCTTGAAAAGTTGAGTAATATGATACTGAATCATTTTATTTCTGTCTTTCTTAAAACATTTACAGATATTTGTGCATACTAACAGTATTTGAGAGAGGGGGAGAAGGACCTGGAAAGTTTTCTGTGTAATATGAATCCATTATATTGTTTATCTCACTTATTACTCTTTCCAGTAACTGGAACATACTTTGGCAATAAGGATGTATATGTTTCCATCATCTACTGGCCAAAAAGTACATATAGGAAGGGTAAAATGCCTCTGAGGAGGTATGTGACTGCCAATCATGAGGCCTTTCTAGGTAGAATCCTTATGTCAACGATTATTTTTACAGGCTAATAATGAAGCTTCTTTAAATCTACACTATTGAGTTTCTTTTATGATATTGTTATGCAACAGTCAAAACTGTCAAATTTAAATTAAAACTGAAAAATAAGAAAGTACAGATCAGTAGTTAACTTACTTTATACTGAGAACATCTGTGCTCCATAAATGTGCAGAGTTGTAATCCTAGCTTTAAGCAGAGCATATGCTTGAGAAGCTGCATAAGTATCAAGACAGGAAATATGAATTTTGAGTGTAACACTGTGGCATTGTTATCTTTCATTTCCATGGACATGATGAAACATGAGCCTTTTGAATGGGGAAATTTCTGGGATGATTTAATAGGTCAACCAGTATGATATGTTTGGTATTCACAGCCTAATTTACCTGTAGTCCCCAGTACAGTTTGCACATCTGAGGGACATTATTTTCCATTTGAAGATGAATTCCATACATGCCTTATCTGGGGTGGGACGAGGACTTCTGGTCTCCGCATGGGATAATGACTTTTGATTTTCATTTGTATCTCTTTTTTAGGTCAGAAACCAAGTCCCACAATATGTGTATTTGGCAATAAATTGTCAAAATAGGTGCAATGTCAATATACATAAGTAAAAAAAATTGAAAAAAAAAGTATTTAAACTGATATTTTGGCAATGATTTTAGATTCTAATAGAAACTAAGGCAACAGGCCCTGGCTTGTTCTTGCAAAGTTTGTAACCTTTTTAAAATTTGTCAAGGAGGGAAGTGCACAATAACTAAACAAACATTGGTGTTTGGTTTGTTTTACTCAGTGCAATTGCTAAATAAAAAGACCTGTCTGAAATTTCAGAGGTGTTGAAATGATTGTACATAGCTGTTTGAAAATAAGTACAGTGGTTGATGATACCTGCATAAAGGGAGACATTTGTTTTAATCATTTGCATTAAGTAACATGTTGAATTAATGAGAAGCATGCTAGGGGCCTTTCATCTCTGAAGTTGTTGACTATTATATCTGTCCTCTATATTTTAAACAGCTTTAAATATTAAATCCTCCAAAAAAATTTTGTTAAAGAGAGATTAAGACCATTCCCATGGGAATACAAAAGGAACATAGGCTATCTAAGGTGTAAATAAAATGATAGCTCTGAAAATTTCCTGCTATGTCATTTTTCTGTCACAAAGGTTATTAGCCACTCAGAAAGAAAAACAAAAATTTGAGTCATGACAGAGAGTAACTATTTTAAGGCAAAATAATTCCTACTCTAGCAGTTCATCCTCAGTGATAGTTTCCTCCATCCATACCTTTTGCAGTTGTATATACAACTCCCTCTTCTCTTTCAAGCCCTCCAGAGGAAGAAGACATGGGAAGGGGTGTGGTAGAATGCAATTATTTTTTGGCTAGCAACTGTTGGAAGAGTCTGTAAGGTTGGATGAAGTCATACTTAGCAAATTGAAATTGGTACTTAAAAATCAGAATTAGCAGATTAATTTAAGAAACCCCCAAATAACCCTACATTTTTCTTGAAGTCAAACTTATATGAAGTCAATGCGGACATGAGGATATAACTTTAACAGAATTTGCTAGAATGACTTAAATAAAAATACTTTTCTCTGAGAGCTTTTCTCATGTGTTGAAGGATGAAAAAGGAAGCTAGTGATCCTCTGAAATTTTTCACTGAAATCTCCTACACTGATGTGGCAACTCGGTGCTTCAATTCAGCTAAGACCCACTAAGAAACATGGCTTTGGAGTCACAAAAGAATCATGCAGCTGTCTGTAAAATCAGTTTACAGACTGAATCTTAACATTCAGCACTGAGAACAGCAACGTTTCTGCCATTTGTAACATCACTGTACATTTCTGTATTCCTTCACTGATTAGGTTTCCTTACTTAACTGATTGCACCCCTTTTGCACCTTGCTTTATTCAGAGAAATCAGTTACATTCTTGTAAGGCTGTTTTTGTAATTACTGGGGTTTTAGATTTAGTCTGAAGTGTCTTACTTAAATTAGAAGCTTACCTTCTTTTCTTTTGGGATAGGTTTCTGCTTTCTCTTTTACTGTACAACCACCATGAGTACATTTATAACTATGTTCAGTTATTTTAATCTTTAGCTAGAAACATGGATGTTGAAAATAGGCAATTAGAATGTCCCTCAAAGTTTTAACAAAGTTCCATATACAGTTTTAATGATATGTGTCCTTCAAAGTCTGGCCAAGCAAAACATAATCTAGTTCCTTTTGAGTTTGTTTCATGTTTTTCTACTCTCTAAACAGCATTCATTTTGTTTCATTAACAAGACTATATCCATCCTTTAGCTACTGCTGATACAATTTCTAAAGTTTGGGGCTTTTCCCTGAAATTTGTCTCCTGCTTGAGAGTCTCCTGGTTGTGTCTTAAATGTTCTGTTTATCTCGTTAATGGTAGCACAGAGTGATGTTTGGTGGTTCCATGGCTCTCCTTGGAAGTATTTCTGTGTTGTGAACCCTGCCGTATCTTGAGACCACAATAGGCACTGAAGAAACACATAGCCCAATGTGTCTTATTGTATGTGCAGAAAATTCCAGAAATGAACCTATTTAGCCATGACATTAGATTTAAGCGTTTAAGACTTAAAACTGTGTAAAACAGACTTTCCATGTGACATTTGATGCCTTTATTAGCTTACGTGTAGGGAGCACATAAAAAGAAATACCTAAGTGTATAGTGACCTGTTGGATTTCACGGCACAGAGTGTCATAAGGATTAATATTGTATCCATGCATCACAAAGGCTGTTTTATCTTGGGTAATAATCATGAGTTTAGTGATAATAAGCCAATGATTTGATCACAGGAACCGTGAAGCACTCTTCAGTCTCCTCAAACTGAATGGAAATACAAAACGTGGAAATAATGAACCTGTAGATAAAAATAATGAAAACTTAGGGTTCAGTGACCTGCTAGCTGAAGATGCTAGGGTTTCTTCTGGTCCTGAACCCACTTATACAGCATAACACAACTGCAGAAAACCCAGTTGCATCATTAAGGTGATTCACTCCCATTGAAAGCAGAATTCAGTACTGTCAGAATCAGTGCTGTAAGCAATTAGATACCTCATATGTTCCTGTTCCCTTAAAGAGTACATCTAAACCTCTGTGAATTCTAAGTCAGAAATAGATATTATTACCCGATATTATCCCGATCTCCTCACAACTTGATTGTATCTTTGGAAAAAAGAATTACGTCTTCAGTCATATTGCTCTAACATATTTGCATGGACCATTCATTTAGAATCATCAGAACATATATTGCTCCTATGAGGAATATTTCACACTTATTTTATCTATTTATCATATTTATCTATTAATCAAATCACACTTTGGATCAAATCCACCACAGTGGATCAAATATTCTTCTTTGTTTCTAGTGGTGTTATTTTAAATTTGTAATACAACAAAATTTAATGAAATTAAATTCTTGGCAATTTCCTTTTCTTTTTTTCTGTTCCTAATATTAACTTCTGTTTTCTATGCAGTTCTCCCACTTTTGTTCTGATTCTGGCAGTCTGAGTATTGCTAACACAACAATATATTATAGTACACTGGGAAATTTTAAATGCATACATTTTAATCAGTTTGACATGACTGCTTTGATGTAACTTTCCTGTTCTGATGATCAATAATTTCTGAGTAAGTAAGCATACTGGATGTCCAGTATCAGATCAGGTAGATCACCACTGAAAGAAGGAAAGGGCTGATTAGTGTCTAAGAGTATGAAAAATTACTACCTAATTTGCTATTCTTGTGTTTTCAACAAACACAATATTCCTTGGTAAGTTTACCTACTGGTGCTAAAACTAAGAGGCAGTTTTCAGTAGTGCTCTCAGAAAGATCTTCTGTTTAAGCTTTAAAAGCAAGAAAAAATTTATCTTAAGTATTTTCCAAATCTTGGGCGGGGGGGGGTGTTTTATATGAGGAAATTCTAATTTGGAGTTGCCTGCTGCTCATTCCTGAATGTAAGTGCTAATCTGAGATTTTATGACATACTGCTCAATTAATATGGAAATCAATATGATGTCACAAACAAAATATTGAATACAAGCAAGCATTAAGCATCAGGTGCATAATATATTTAAGAAGCAAATTATAATCTGTGAATGTGTCTTAAAATAATAAAATTGTGCTGTCTAGAAACTGTATTGTTACTAACTGACAAATTATGAGACCTTCATTTACACTGCTAAGCACTTGCTCACTGAAGTGGATCTATTCATATCAGTGGGACTAATTTGTAAATGCTTGTTTTTGAAAGACGTGACAGTATACCTCAAACTTTTACATGTGTCAATTGAAATTAATCTCTTCTGTGTTTTCAAATATGTAATGCAAGAAGGGCTGGTTTGTAAGTGCTTGCTGTATAGAATTCCT